AATGTTTATAACTTAGTTTTCTGAGATTGGGTACCCAATTGTGCATGTGCACATATATAATATTTCGCGCGAATCTATTTTTACTTCCTTCTAATCTTATAGCAGCCACCAAACTATCGGCCAACTATCGATTAGATGATTGCTTGATGATATTTGGTTTATATTTTTGATTTCGACCAGTGTATGGTATAGATTTATTCAAAATAAAAAAAATCACGTGCGCGTTCCATTTCAGAATGCGGATCACTTTGCCAAGAAAAATTTACAATTATATACGAGTTATACATCGATATCAATACAATAAATTCCCGAAATACACATGCAAAAGTAAACATGATTATATTTGCGAAATCGAGCCACCAGGGCCAGCTTTATTAATATAGAAAAAATAAAACAATTTACAGGAATAAAATTATTTTTTCCCCAATTCTCCGCTTTTTTTCTTTTTTAATCTCTCACGAGAAAGGCTTCTTTCACTTACCTTTCTTGTTCTTTGCTTCTCTTCTCTAGATGGTGATGGTACTCTTCTGCTCGGGGGTACATTACGTGTGGGTGTGAAACGGCCTGTTCTAATGCTTGCATAAGCAGGCTTTGATTTACAATTAGTATATTTTATATTGAAGATTTCAACATTTTTATCAGTTAATGGAATAAAAGTAAGTTAAAACCATACTAAAAATCATTACATACTCTTAGAGTTAATAATAGATGTACGAGAGGTTCTATTCTCCATGGTGTTTGTGGTGTGAGAGGGATTTCCGCATGGCATAAATGAAAATAACGGGACAAGCCACCCGCATCATTTACAAGAACATTCAGATATATATCCTCACCAGCAATCTGAATTCCTATTATACCAAATTGATTTCTGACTGGCCTACATGCCACATTAACATAATCCATACCATCCAGCGTTTCTCGCCATAGCTTTACTTCATCCTCGGTCTTTTTGGTATCATCGCAAATGATACGTGAGGATTCTACATATATAAGCTCATTGATTTTTTCTTTATACTTCATTAATGCCATAATATCTGGTTTCTTTCCTATCTTATTTCTTTGAAACTTGCTCGCTAAACTTTGTCTTTCCGCTCTGCAATAAAATTCGACTATAAATAAAAAATAGTAGCAAGCAGAGTTGACAAGTATTTGAAAGAGTTACTTACGCGCTCAAGCATATACCCCCATTAGGCATATTTTCCAGACTAGCTCGAAGTAAGGGCATAATTATATCTGCAATATATGTCCCCTCACTTTGCTCTTTGTGATTCGTGCTATTTTTAAAAGCCGGATTATTCTATACCTCTTCACTTAACGACAACAGAAATTTTAGAAAAGTTGCTTATACTGTAATCAGCCATATGAAGAAATTATCAAACTATTTACAGTACACTAAGTATTCGTTCTGCTCTCTTTCTAAGATCCGATACACTCTCCTTTCAAGATTTGTTGTAGACAACATTTCTGAGGACATGTATGTCTTCTGGCTTATTAAAATCATCTACAAACTTCTTACAACTTGAAGCGATTGACTCCGGCAAATCACATTTCATATTATCCTTGGGTTCCTGATAGCGGATTAAAACATAGTAAAATTTTTTGTATTACAATTTGTTAATTAGTTAATCACATAAATTAATAAATTATTACCAAGAAATAGTTTTTCTGTGTCGGTCTTAATTTCTCTACAACAATTGACCTTTCACTCAAAACTAAATTCGCCTCTGGATCACTCTATAAAAGTCTAGAGGGGTCAATATATTTTACTAAATTATTTTTTAGGGCGTCATAGAAAGATCTATCAGAATCAGTAGGGTTCTAAACAAAGAACACTCATAAGTTTTGAATTAAATAAAAATTTTACAAATTACTAAATACTTACACTGAGCTTAGACTTCATTGTGTTGAAATTTTTCTCTATTTCTTTTCGTATAGTATCGGAGATGTTCTCCATATTCTAAAGAAAAAAAGATTAGTATGTACGATTTACCAAATAGACGAAATTATTACAAAACTTAATATGAATTATATGATATGGTACCGTATTCAAAACTTTCATCGCCCTTAAGCCTACAATGCTTTTGTAACCAATATCCATCTACAACAGATGAAAAAATTAGATTCGCGCGAAATATTATATATGTGCACATGCACAATTGGGTACCCAATCTCAGAAAACTAAGTTATAAACATT